AGTTAATTGCCTGCCGGCTTTGCAGTCAGCCCCTTAAGTATTTTCGAAAACATTGGCTTCTCATCTCCCTAGACAAGTTTGCTGTTTTTTTTTTATAGTCCTCTTCATGTTTTCATGCATTTTACAGCTAAATTGTAAAGCATTTAAACCTAACCATATTCAACAAAGTGTGTCGCGCTATCACTAGTACGCTGGTGGATTTCAAATGGCCAGGTGATTGAAACTCTCCTTGTTGGGCCTGGTGCATAGGTCTTGTTGAAGCATTTTTTATGTCCTTCTTATAGGTCCTCATTGAAAGATGAAATTGCAGGCTCCACATCAGTAATAAATCTCAGCCAGGTGTGAGGTAGGGCAGAGAGGGAGAGCCATCAATAAAAAGAGGGATGGTCATTCCCTGTCGGGCAGGAAGCGAGGGAATAAACAAGCTGTAGGGGAAACGGGTCTGCCCTTTCTAGCAAAAGTGCTTTATTGACTTGTATTTAAATGAGCGACCTTTTGTTCGCGAGTGTGTGGAACGGGGCATCGGAGCATGCCACTGCATGCCATTGCATGCTCTGTATTGTAAAAAGGGTACTGAGATTTTTTTTTTTTGCTCCTTTACTTTTATAGGTCCTATCTAAATTGATTGGATTTGTCTTTAACCTTCATTGCATGAACTGTTATGGGTACTGTATGGTTTTTGCTTTTTGAACTTCAACTGATTCCCTGATTCTCTTGCCATGTGTATAATTTGTTAAGTCCCCTTTAAGGGTTTTGAACACTGTCTTGCGATAATGTCCCCATTACTTGTATACAAGAAAGCAGGGTTATGTGGTGTTGATTTCTGTGGGAGGTATGCTGGAATCCGTTTGATTTGCAAAGATTTATATTCAGATAGACTTTGAATCTGGAGACCAGGTTGTCAATACGAGTGTCAAATCCCTCATTAATAAGATAGCAAAGTAGCAGTTATACTCTATGTCATGTTACAAAATGAGAAGAAACGCTCCTTTTTTAAGTGGTTACTAAAAGGCCACTTTACTGTAATTTCTGGATAAATAGTAGCAACAGCAACAACAATGCATGGCCATTATATTCAATCTGATAGCCCAATGATATAAGAAAAAAATGGTAAAAAATAGCTCCTGAACACAGCGGGGAGTTTAATAGAGAGTGAGAGGAAGCGGCTTGGCTTGATATACAGCCACACCACTAATGGCTGACTTTTCCTGCAGATAATCACTGCTCAGCATAGGAAAGGCCTTAGCATTATCTAATTGTGAGCGCTCAGGTTTGTTACATTTACCCCCATAAGCCTTCTGGGCTTTAATTGCTAATCTGCAATAATGTGGTTGTTTTCTACAGGAGATTGTCAGACACTCACAAAATGGAGGCTTGTATTAAATGTGCAATCTGAGTGCTCAGTGATTTCGAATCGATATGTTTCAGAGGTCATTTTTTATATCAAGTGACAGAATAATAACGTTGTTTTTTTTAAACTAGAGAGGACAATCATACACTTATAATGGTTGATTATGTATTGTTGTTGTGCTTTCGAGTTACACAGCTTCTCTCAGAAGGGCAGCCTCACAATAAGCTTGAACAGGTTAAATATGTTATTATTCTTTTTAGAAATCCTTTGCACCCTGTCTTTTAATAGACCATTGGGACATTGTGACTCTTTGTTAAAAATGAAGTATACCTTGCTTAACAATTGCATTTCACTTTGCCCTCTACCAAGACCCAGAGCAGAAGCTTCCTCTTAAATGTAGACAGTAGGGAATATTAGCAGTTGTAAACTTATTCCTGAACCCTGTCTTATTTGCACCTTAAGAGGATGACTAACGGTACGTCCACACAGCAGCTTTTCAAAAATCTTGAAAATCTTGGAGCTGGGCGTGTCTGAAAGCTTGGGGATTTTTTGCGAGCAACGCGACCAACAACCAACGACATGAATCTCCCGCCCCCGACATACAAAGCAAAAAACCCCAGGGATTTTATGCGAGCAATATATATATATATATATAAACTCCCCAAACAGGCGAAAAACTACCAGTTTCACCCACTGTCTCTGCCACCTCCCTCCATGCCTGGTTTCTCCGGTTTGTGGATAGACCACAGCATGAGAAGATGTCTTTCTCTGCACAGTGCGAACCAGAAATAAGGAAATTGTGTAGGTGCTTTGAAAAGTATGTCGCACCTGTATAATATACCTACATATCAGTTGTGGTTAAAAAAAATCCTGATGGCCTGACATTCATAAACCGGCAAGTTCATTTTTCAGGAAAAAATAATTAGAAATATGGGGAATTATTCTCTCATATTAACCTTTAAACTGGAATGCTTGAGTTCAATCAACCATAAGAGAGCCTGAGTGTGAGTTGTTGCTTATTTTGGTGCCTTAACAAGAACCAGGGACTTAACTTGGATCTTGAGACTAACAAATAACTGTATACTGCTAACTTCATGTCATGGCCATTGTGAAGACAACTTTCTATTTAATGCACAATTGTATAATGGTGAAATGGTTTGGTATCAAGAAGCATTAGCTGATGTTTGTGGTATGGTGATGGATCTAATGAATGTGATATGTACATCCTGTGGTTGGTCTAGGTTCACTGCAGTCTAAGACTCAAACATGGAAAAGACAACAATCTGATATTCACAAGGACAACTTCATGTTATTGTGTCGTTTCCCAACATCTGCCGTCGCTACAAGCAACCACTGGCGCATTTCGGCAATATTCATCTGGTGATAGGCAAACTGGTTGATCCGTAACAATGGTACTCCAAGGCTCCACTCAGTTGTCAGTGGTTGTCCCCCTCCCCCTTTCTCCTCTATATTTTGCATTGCATTATCTGTGCTGTCATAACTGACAACATAACTGCAACCATTTATGCTCACATTCACACCTATACATACAGGCAATGTATAGTCAAAAACGTAACTAAGCTGCATCTCTTTGCAGTGTGGGATATGCTTCAAAACCAACTTTGTTCAAGGAAAAGTTTACTAATGCCCCTCTTTAGAGGGCACTGCCTTATGGTAATACAATTACCGGTATTTGAATGGACAATTAAAAATAATTGATAATGCCCCTCAAAGTTCCTTAATGTTAATACACCTTGCACGAGTTTGAGAGTAGGGCACAACAGCCCCCATGTGCTGTGCCCTGTGCTAATTATCTGATAAATAAATAATAAAAGGGTTGTTTTTTGCAGATGAACCATAACTGCTGAGGAAATCCCCTCGACAATAACAAAATCAATTCCAATATGCCCTATTATGCTTTTTGTACAAGGTTTTAAATGATATGTTCCTCCTCTCAGTCACTGAGAAGAGTAAATGCTGATTAGCCTTTTCCTAGTTATATATATATTTTTTAGTTCAGAAAGACTCCACTCGAGCCACTATAGGTATTTTACTCTGAGGGTCACTGAATGTAAATCATGTTTACACCCTAGAGTGAATACATTACCACAATTAGGCATTGATGTATTATAGGACAAGCATTCATTGCATGACGACTCATTTATGTGCCTTGAAAATAAAACTGTTGCCCTGACAGGTGATAGTACTTGATAACTCTCTGGAAGACATGCCACTGACACCCTGGCATTCTCTGTTTATCTTCCATCCTGCTATAGCTACACGCTTTATGCAGTAAAAGCCTTTCCCTTAAGATTGTCCCAACAAAGGTCCCAGGATCTCCTCTCCAAATGCTTTTCATATGGCAGAGAATCAGTCAATTATTTTTGAAGCAGTGCAGCAGTTCAGGATTAAGTGATTTAAGAGTGCACCGGACAGCAGCCTCACCCCCGCCACCCCCCTTGCTTTTAGCCTCAGAGACTTCCACTAACAGTGTGGCTCGTCAGGGCTGATTGCAGCGGCACTGGGGCAGATAAGTCAATCTTACTATTATCCTATGTAAGCTAGGAGTAACAAATTACAACTCTAGCCTTAAACCCCAGAATTGACTTCTTAAGCCACAGCAGAGAATAAAAGAAATCACTACACTAAAGCAGCGATGGCCCAGGTTTGAAGCGGGACCAAAATAAGTGTGTCTGATGGAATGCATATAAATCTCAGTCTGGATTCAGTTCAGGCTATCGGGCCTCTCTGCTGTCTCTTTATTGCCGTCTGCATCTCCCCAAGCTCATAACTATGATGTCCTGACGGCTTTACAGGGACTGTAATTCAAATGTATTTCTACCAAGCCATCGATTCTCTCACCACTTTAATGTCATGTGTGTCTGGCTAGTCTAACATAGAAATGCACAGCTCCATTAGCATGTATATATTTTCTTCCCAGTTATAACTTGGAACACTAACCAACAGGGGTAGTTTTACTACAAGAGCATTATTAGATTAAAATGGTGAGGCTTATCTCCAGGGGCAAAATGAACAAAGGTTGTGGTAGTTACCTTCTGGTGCAGTGTAGATATATTCCTTATTTATTTTGAAAAGAGAGTCTTAAAACATTGTCTTATGAATCAATAATAACATATTGTGGAATTGTATGTAGGTAATATTGCCCACCAGAGTAGTTAAAATATTCAAAGGTTTTATCTGTCATGTGCACAATACCGTATTATTTTGGCAGTGAAATGTTAATACCCAGGCTCCTTCAGCAATACAATGTACAATAAACTTGAAATGAAAGACAACATAGTGCAGTAAAACAGTGCAATAGACTAAATGGTCAAAGTTATTTGGGGGATAAGAACAATAAGGGAATGAAAAATACAATACTGTAGAGTAGCATAAATACTGTGATAGTATATCAATATGTGGGTAGGAGTGCAATGTACAAATAACAGTGTAAATAGTCTTTAGTCTGAACATATGGTAGATGAATGATACTGCATATTACCGTGCTTTTCTGTGCCTTTTCTCCTACTTTATCCGCCTCATATTCTGTTGCTCCCTCCATTTACCACAAATTCAATTTCTCCCAAGCTACACTGTGTGATTAATGACTTCTCCCACCCCATAAAAAGATGAAATAAAATATTTTTACCTTCCCCACGTACTGCGGGTCTGACCCCATGTACTCCTCCAGTACAAAGAACTGGTTCCACACCCAGCCCCTTTTGACCCGTTGATATCCAGCCGCTCCATTCCTCATTGGGCCCACCAAGCTGTTGGCGTGCTCCCTCCCCGTCCTGCTCCGTCCCAGTGGCGGCGAAGGGGGACGTAAAGAAGAGACTGAGCCTTCGTCGACAAGAATCCAAAGGAACAGCAGCAGGCAGTTCCTTGTTAGCATTGGCGATCTGTGAGCCTCAGGTCCCCAAGTCAAAGTCCAGTGATGAGAGTTGAGCCACGCTGAAACAACTTGTGAGGGTGGTGATGGGGAATGGGTGAGGTGGGGTCCAGTGCCCAAAAAGAAGATTTCCGTTGGTCTGTCAGGAACCCGCTCAGAGAGTTAAGGAGCTCATCACCTAAAGGAAAGGAAATAAATGCTTGGATTAAAACGTTGCTTTTAGATGAATTCCTACTGTATTACTGGTGTTATATTAATGATGTCTAGGACTGTGTAATGGCACACATGGTCTCTCTACAATAGTGAAAGTGTGTTGAAAGCTTTTCGTTTATGAATACTGATGGCATTGCATTTTCTAGCTCATATTCCTTGCCCTCCACTGCTTTAATTTGTAACTGTTCATTGACAAATGATGGTAGCAACTTTCTCAAACACAAAAAGAAGAGTTATAATGATTTGCCTGGTGATAGATTACCACTACACTAGACAGTCATCTTTGATAAATGCTCTTTACCAGATGTCTTCTTTGACATTGAACATTTTTTTTAAATGAAGTTTGAATATTTGTTGTCATTATTAATGACACCATCACAACAAAAAGAGAAAACGATCATTCAAAAAAATCCTCAATCTAAAAATAAAGTTGTTGTAGGTCATCAACCTTCTATAATGAATATCATTTTAAATAATGTATTTTTTGACATTCAAAGCTTCTATTGAGTTTTTTGAATATCTCTAATGCTTATTTATGACAGCTTCATAACAACAAATTACAGAATCCTCTTTTTATACTTTAGTTAACGTTATCAGTTTATTTTCAATTACTAGGTGTCAACTGAGGACTGTGTGTGTATGTGTGTGTGTGTGTGTGTGAGGGAGTGACAGAGGGAGAGAAGGTGGACACATCTTTTGTGTAAGTTATTAATAACCAGAGCTGTTAACTAATCCGTAAAACCCTTTAATTAGCTAGATCACTTCTGTCAATGATTTGATATACTTTATTAATCCCCGTGGGGAAATTGTTTCTCTGCATTTGACCCATCCTAGTGTTAGGAGAAGTGCGCTGCCATTTTGAACGGCGCCCAGGGAGCTGTGTAGGGAACGGTGCCTTGCTCAGGGACACCTCGGTAGCACTTGGTCTTGCCGGGACTTGAACTGGTGACCTTCCAGTTACCAAGCCAAGTCCCTATCAACTTCGCCACCACCGCCCCAAGGGTGAACTTGCTGTCAATTTGAACACAGTGCCCCACACCTGTCAGCAACTACGATTCCTTGATTGCTTATAAAGGATAAGCGGTTGCTAAGAAGCTCTCATGTTTTGTTTAAAAAACATGTCTTACTATTTTAATTAAACCTGTCAGAAAGTTGTATACTTTCGAGATGAACACTTTTAAAAATAACTTGACACAGATGTGCAGTTGTTACGCCAATTACACTTGAAGATGTAGCATGATGCTTTGGCACTTCATATATGAAACTGACATGTGTACTGAAAGGCAGATTTGACAACCAATGGCCACAGGAGATTGTTTTGCTTGCTGCAGCATGTCACTTGACTGACATGCATTCAATGAGAGGCAACTCTCCTACAGAAGATTACTAATATATAATCTAGATGACAGACGAGCGGTTGAATATTTTATTTGTTTTCTTCCATTATGTTTTGTTTATGTCTTCAAGTGGTTTGGAAGTACCAATGAGCTAAAAGATGGATATCATGTTGTGTCATGAGCCATTGTCTTTGCATGCTTGAGTAAAGCACAAATTCAGACCATTTGTTTGTTACCCTTATTATTATATATTTTTTACAATTTTGTTCTATAAGCAAAAGCAATAACTGTAACTATTCTACACATTGAGGACTTTGTTTGTAGCTAGAGTAAGGTAATAAACTACGGTTTAAATTCTGAGTTATTTACCAATATTTATTAATATCAGGTGAGTTTTGTTTGACAGGCAACACATTTTTCGTCATTAAGATGACTAAATTGTGATTACCTAATTACAAATCATTTATTTCAAAGCCTAATGCATAGAAGACAAAGACGTATTACAAAACCAACCTAATTTGTTAAGCCTCATTCATTATTGCACAACAGCTTTTGAACAGCTTTTGCTGTTTACACCTTGTTTGCAAGCCTGACTAGTACAATATCACCACTAAAGCATTCACGTCTGGCCTCGTTAGGACACACACTTAATTGCGCTGAAAACAAGAGAAGGGAAACACAAATGGTTTGGATGAACAATGGACCTAATGGTTTCCACACCTGGTTTATTGTTCCTTTCTCCCTCCTAATGCACTTATAAGCTATACAGTAATGGAAGACAGCATGCCTCTAATTTCCTAACCGGGGCCTCATTGACATCATTGTCTTTGATTAATTATACAGACTTGGAACATCGGCTTCAACGGGAGATTACTTCAACAAGGTTATGCCGTGCTCCCAGATCCATTTATTCTCTGTCACCACAGTATCTTAAAAGTCAAAACTGATCTGCAAAGTTCTCCGTGCAAAATTGTCAGGAACTATCTTGACATGGGTCCGACCTGCCTCTCCCGCAGGTCACTCCTCATTTAGCATTGACATAATGGAAAATTACTGTTTCCATCATTCCTGCAAAATCACGCCTCTGCCACGGTTCGGCTCCGGGAGGGCTTGATGCATATTTTATGAGATAAGTTCATTAGCATGTGTCAGGCTACGGTTGTGATCCCTGACCCGCGCGTCGTCTTCAGATAACATGACACAGTGGGCTGACAGCATTCTCACACATCACCTTCAATAATCAAAGAACATATGGCTCGCCGATCTGCTGCTGCAGATTACCTCCCACCAGAGACTCCCACAGAAAGTTATGAGTCTTCAAAGCTGCCATAAACATGACAAACACATAAGTAAGCATTGACTTCTGAAATGAAGGGGAGAAATTAGTCATCTGGATAAAGCAGTTGTTTTGCATATCCTTTCATTTATTTCTTTAACAACTACAGAGTTTTGCATTGTGGAACAACATGTCAGTCAGAGAAGTCATATTTGCTTTAACATTTAAACAGTTGTTGTTCAGGTTAGAAGAGCAGAAGCATATAGATAAGAAAGGGAAGGAGTTTTGCTTGTATTTTTTTCATTTTCACACTATGCTTATACAGTATGTAAACAATCGTCTAAAGATTATGTACTCATGTTCCCTCCCTTTAGGGGCCGCGGTAGTGCAACCAGCATTGTCATGTTTGGAAATGAGATAATGGACTTTAAGATGTGTCGTTGTGAACATGTGTTGCCACTCATAGGGCTGCTCCTTGGTAAATAACCTGGGTTGAACTATTTGACAATGGTTTTGAGTAAAAAAAAAAAATGCTTGCAGAAGTATCCACATTTGTATTATATTCCTCTCAAATATATGCCCATCAACATTAAACTCTGTGCATTCATCCGTCCCACAATTTAACAAAGTAATAACGCTAAATCATCAAATGTAGCATAGCATTTGCAATGAATCAATATTGATGAATGCATTTGTATTTTTAAATGTTTTTGCTGGCATTACAATCTACAGCTATTCTTTGAACAGAATTAGTAGGAGACAAGTTATTTTCTTCAATATGAAATATATGTTACTATAAACAAAATGTAATGATTCCAGTAGAAGAAAACTAAAATGTCGAATTATTATGTTACATTTCTGAGTACAGGCCAGTATGACATGTCCAGTATCGTATTTAAGCGGATCACATTGTCCTAAAGATGTCTGTAGTAGCAGTGAAGGCTCCAATCACATAAATAGATGTGTTGAGTTCAGCGCTGTCACCGAAAGTGATCAAGACAATGGCCTCACTTAAATTACAGCCTTGACTGATGAGGTATGTGTGCTAAGGCTGAGGAGATGAAGGAAACGGTGTGGGCCATACAGGGAAATCACTCTGAAGACATTGTTTTTGCACAGCTAAGGCCAACGACTGTAATATCATTGAAACCCATCAGGGGAAGTGTAGGAGGAGAGAAGTGTAGGTGGAAGCAAGGTAATGAAAATGGGAGCAACAACACAGCTGGCCAGTCAGGCTGAATAATCAAAGAACACCTCATGCGTAGGTTATAGCACAACCAAAGTAATGAATTGCAAATAAAATGGCTCCGTTAGTTACAGATAACTTTGAGTCATTAAATATGCAACTTTGGCTTTAACCATTTTATAGACAAAGGTGTTTGTATACGAGTGGCTGTTAGATAGCACCACAGTGGATTTCTGCAGAAAGATAATATAGCAGATTTTTTAAATGTTCTTTATGATTTAGTTTTTAAGGGCTGCTTGCATGCAACGCACCACGAAGCATACTAGTTGGTTCCTTGAACAATAGACTCATTAATATTTAATGAGTCGTCTTCCCCACTTTTTCTGATCCCACGCACATTATGTTTGGGGAGAGCAAAATGATGCCTTCCACTCACATGTCTGAGTAGTGTAATTTTCTGCTTGGTACGACATGAGCTCATACTCATACACTGAAATATTCCAGGTTTTTAGTAAGCCTATTGCAGTCTTTTTCTTATTCTGTCCAACCCTTCTGTTTCTATCTTAGTTTACACACTCCAGTGGTTTTGAGCACCAACAAATCACTTTAAATGAGCCACCTTGCTGAAAAACAGAAGCAGCCATAAATAACCGTGGTGATTTTAAAGAGATGATTCCACCATTGACTGCCAGTACAACATTTTCTAAACCATAGATTGTTCCTGTTGAACAACACTTCTATCTTTCATTGAGTTCATTAGAACACTACTGTACAACATTAAGCCAAAACGCATTCTTTTAATAGTGACAAATGGCAACTACCCCTTTTGCCAAGGCTATTTATGTGATAAATGTGCCTTGCTTACTTTGCTATAGTGCTATGTTGGCAGAACCAGGACTGGATAAAGCCTTTGCTCAGGGTTTTGGTCATATTGGGGAAGTTTAGTTTAATGTAAGACATCTCTACATTATAACATGTGGGTTTCATGCCATTTCACATTAACGAGTGACTCTGATTCCTGGCACCTGAATTGGCAAACCTGATTCACTAATACATAGTTTCAGGAATGTGCACAGTGTTTAAAATGGTAATATTGTGACAAGGAAATGTCAAAAAGCTTGGCAAGTTCACAGTGAAAGAAAAATACGAACAAGGTTAGGTTTGTC